TTATAGGCTACATTTTCCTGCTCCTTTGCATTCCTGATATTTCTAATTAGTTGCCAGACACTGTCATTTTTATTTATTTTTTTGTATTTCTTTTTTTAATTTTTTATTATATTTTAAGTTCTAGGGTACATGTGCACAACATGCAGGTTTGTTACATATGTATACATGTGCCATGTTGGTGTGCTGCACTCATTAACTCGTCATTTACATTAGGTACATCTCCTAATGCTATCCCTCCCCATCCCCCTACGCCACAACAGGCCCCAGTGTGTGATATTCCCCTTCCTGTGTCCAAGTGTTCTCATTGTTCAATTTCCACCTATGAGTGAGAACATTCAGTGTTTGGTTTTCTGTTCTTGTGATAGTTTGCTGAGAATAATGGTTTCCAGCTGCATCCATGTCCCTACAAAGGACATGAACTCATCCTTTTTTATGGCTGCATAGTATTCCATGGTGTATATGTGCCACATTTTCTTAATCCAGTCTGTCACTGATGGACATTTGGGTTGGTTCCAACTCTTTGCTATTGTGAATAGTGTTGCAATAAACATACGTGTGCATGTGTCTTTATACCAGCATGATTTATAATCCTTTGAGTATATACCCAGTAATGGGATGGCTGGGTCAAATGGTATTTCTAGTTCTAGATCCTTGAGGAATCGCCACACTGTCTTCCACAATGGTTGAACTAGTTTACAGTCCCACCAACAGTGTAAAAGTGTTCCTATTTCTCCACATCCTCTCCAGCACCTGTTGTTTCCTGACCTTTTAATGATCGCCATTCTAACTGGTGTGAAATGGTATCTCATTGTGGTTTTGATTTGCATTTCTCTGATGGTGAGTGATGATGAGCATTTTTTCATGTGTCTGTTGGCTGCATAAATGTCTTCTTTTGAGAAGTGTCTGTTCATATCCTTTGCCCACTTTTTGATGGGGTTGTTTTTTTCTTGTAAATTTGTTTGAGTTCTTTGTAGGTTCTGGATATTAGCCCTTTGTCAGATGAGTAGATTGCAAAAATGTTCTGCCATTCTGTAGGTTGCCTGTTCACTCTGATAGCAGTTTCTTTTGCTGTGCAGAAGCTCTTTAGTTTAATTAGATCCCATTTGTCAATTTTGGCTTTGTTGCCATTGCTTTTGGTGTTTTAGACATGAAGTTCTTGCCCATGCCTATGTCCTGAATGGTATTGCCTAGGTTTTCTTCTAGGGTTTTTATGGTTTTAGGTCTGAAATTTAAGTCTCTAATCCATCTTGAATTAATTTTTGTATAAGGTGTAAGGAAGGGATCCAGTTTCAGCTTTCTACATAAGGCTAGCCAGTTTTCCCAGCACCATTTATTAAATAGGGAATCCTTTCCCCATTTCTTGTTTTTGTCAGGTTTGTCAAAGATCACATGGCTGTACATGTGTGGTATTATTTCTGAGGGCTCTGTTCTGTTCCATTGGTCTATATCTCTGTTTTGGTACCAGTACCATGCTGTTTTGGTTACTGTAGCCTTGTACTATAGTTTGAAGTCAGGTAGTGTGATGCCGCCAGCTTCGTTCTTTTGACTTATGATTGACTTGGCAATGCAGGCTCTTTTTTGGTTCCATATGAACTTTAAAGTAGTTTTTTCCAATTCTGTGAAGAAAGTCATTGGTGGCTTAATGGGGATGCCACTGAATCTATAAATTACCTTGGGCAGTATGGCCATTTTTACGATATTGATTCTTCCTATCCATGAGCATAGAAAAACTGTTTTAATGTCTTTGCTAATTCTAAAATCTGTGTCATTTCTGGGTTTGTCTCAATTGATTGCTTTTTATTTTTCTCCTCATTATGGGCTACATTTTCCTGCCTCTTTGCATTCCTGACATTTCTAATTAGTTGCCAGATACTGTGATTTTTAAATGGGTGGGTGATGAATGTTTCTGTATTTCCGTAAATATTCTTCAGTCTTTTTCTGGTATGAACTTAGATTCTTGGAAAGAGTTTGATCCTTACAGATTTTGCCTCTAAGATTTGTTAGGTAGATCCAGAGTGCTCAGTACAGAGCTAATTATTCCCCCACTACTGAGGGAAAACCCTTCTGTGTATTCTGTCCTACGCCCCACAAGCCGCTAGGTTTTGCGGTCTTGCAGGCGGGAACAGATGCCATGTTTTGCCTGGTATTAATGTGGGCACTGTTGCCTCTGATCCTTTCTGGTAGTTCTTTGCTCAACCTAGGGTAGTTTTCCTCACGTGCATATGGTGATGAGTGCATGGCTCAGTTCTCAAGGCATTTTCCTCTCTGTGCAGGTCTTTCCTCCTCAGCAGCTACCCTGCAGGATCTAGATGTTTTGATCTCTCTGGACTTTTAGCTCTGTCTCTTCAACTCATGGAGTCCAATGGGCTCCACCTGTGTCTCCCCTTCCTGCATACAGCCTGCAAACTTTCTCCAGGCGGTCAGCTGGGGCACATGTAGGGAATCACCTTGTTTCCCATTTCTTGGGGGTCACAGTCCTTCCCTAACGTCCAGTATCTTAAAAGCATTGTTTCAAATATTTTGTCCTTTTCTTTTCTTTCTTTCTTTTTTTTTTGGTTGTTTCAGGAGGGAGGGTAAATAGGTCCCTGGTACTTTATCTTGTCCAGAAGTGAAAAACCTATTACCATGCCTAAGGGCCTACTCTATAATGATAAACACCCTGCAAGGCGCTTAACAGGCACAGTCCCAGGCAGTCTTCATAGATGCCCTAGGAAGGAGCATTGATGACCCCATTTGACAGGTGGAAAAACTGAGGCTCAGAGAAGTTAAGCACTTTGCTCATGAACTGGCAAGTGGAGGTGCTGGGATTCAAACAGGTTTGTTCGCCCATAAACTCATTCTGTTTTCTCAATATAAAATCTCCCTTATGGCAATGAAGGGGAGTGTGAGGAAGATGAAATGGGGGATTACAACAAACTTCAGGACTTTCTACAGTGTTCCATGGTTTATACTGACCTTCTTCTCTGTAACTTAGGAAACATTAATATTAGCTTTACTTAAATGAATAAGAATTACACTAGCAAATATTTCAGGAATAAATTCATTATGAAAGATGAAGGTCTATTATCACAGTTCCTGGTTTCTCCCTTTAACTGTCTGTGTGGCCACTGTTTCCACCCCATCCCATTACACATGGCAGACTTTTGAAGCTCTCTCTCTTTTTTTTTTTTTTTGTTTTGAGACAGAGTCTTGCACTGTAGCCCAGGCTGGAGTGCAGTGGCACGATCCTGGCTCACTGCAAGCTCCGCCTCCCGGGTTCACGCCATTCTCCTGCCTCAGCCACCCAAGTAACTGGGACTACAGGCGCCCGCCACCACGCCCGGCTAATTTTTTGTCTTTTTAGTAGAGATGGGGTTTTTACCGTGTTAGCCAGGATAGTCTGGATCTCCTGACCTCATGATCCACCCGCCTAGGCCTCCTAAAGTGCTGGGATTACAGGCCTAAGCCACTGCGCCCAGCGCTGAGGCTCTCTTAAACAGTGCTTAGGATCCAACTTCTATGGGTCAAACCTCAGCTCCCTCAATGTGGAGCACAGTGACTTAATTTCCCCAACTGTCAGAGTCATGCACCGGTAGGGGTATGAAACCAAAGGCACCCATCTCATCAGGAGAATGAAATGGGACAGCCCCTTAGCTTAGCCCCTGGGAGCTAGCAAGCACTCTCTAAGTGTTCCCTTTTATTATCATAATTAAATACAGGATAGAGGGGGACTTCTCGGCCTCAGCACTACTGACATGTTGGGTGAGATCATTTTTCATGGGGTGTGGGGGCCTGTCCTGTGCATAGCAGGATGGGCAGCAGCATCCCTGGCCTCTGCCCACTCCCTCCCTCCCAGGCTGTGACAGCCAACAGTGTCTCTACACATTGCCAAGTGCCCCTTGGGGGCCAAATGCCCCGGTTAAGAAACATTGATACAGAACAGCCAGATCTCTATTGTCTATGAATCTAAATGACTTACAATTCTATCGTCCTGTGACTTCCCACAGGCACAATGTGGCATGTCCAAAAATTCTAAGTGCCTTATCTATCAAACTAGCTCCTCCTGTGTTCCCACTTTGGTGGCCACAACTAGGTGCGGGAAGTTGGGAGCGCCCTGGAGTCTTCCTCTCCCTCACCTTTACACTGACCCCAGTCTCCCTGGTGGACCCATCTGTTCTCAGGCTTTAAATGCTGTCCTCGTGCTGATGACATCCAGATTCACTGCTCCCCTGACCTCCAGACCTGGGGGAAGTCCACCTCCCATCTGCCTACACCCTCCCCTTTTGGGTGAGGGCAACTCCATTTTCTGGTTACTCAAGTTGAAACCAGACACATCCTTGCTCCACTCTCTCTCACCTCTCCTATCCATTCCTCTCAGTAAATTCTATTAGCTTCTCCTTTAGAACATAGCTGCAATCTGGTCACTTCTCACTGCTCACCTGGTCTGGGCCACCATCACTCCTCATCTAGACTGCTGCACAGTCTCCAGGCTCCTTCCCTCACCCTGACAGTCTATTCTCAGTTGAGCAGCCACGGAGACCTAGTAGAGGCCTGAACCAGCTCCCCAACCCCTGTTCAACATCCCCCGGCAGGCCCATCTCGGCAAAGGCCTCGCAGTGAGCCTGAAGGCCCCTGACCCCTACTCCTGTGACATCATCTCTGGCTCCCCTTCCCTTTGCTTTTGCCAGTTCTCAAGCACACCCGGCATGCTCCTGCTTCACGGTTTTTGCACCTGCTGTTCCCTTGCTCCTGCTGTAGCCCAGAAAGCTGTCCTTCCAGCACTGACCCCCTTCAGGTCTTTCCTCAGATGTTACGTTCTTGGGGAAGGTAACATCTTCTTCTGACCACCCTATTTAAGCCTCACCACGCATCACCCACCACACCCCATGCTCCTTCCTGGCCTGAATTTTTCCATAGCACTGATTGCAGTCAATACACTCTGTATGTATTTTATGTGTTTACATGACATGCTTATTCATAACGTTTCTCATTGGCCCACCCCGACTCTGTCTGTTTTATAGACAACTCCAGCACAGCCAGCAGAGCCTGGCATGGAGAGGACATGCGCTGAGCCTGAGATGAATGGGAGGTTAGTGAGGGCGGCACCGGCAGAACAAAGGAGACTGGCACACGTGAAAACCTTGCGAAAGGTGGGCATGACACTTACAGATTGATGAGTGTGAGTAGTGTGAACACTTGTGGGATCCTGAGGGAAGCGATATCACTATTCTCATTTTAAAGAGAGGAAACTGAGCCCAGAAATGTTTAGAAACAGCCCAAGCTCTAACTATGAGCTGTGTGTGTGTATGTACCAGGAAACTATGACCCCAGGAAGTCTGGCTCCTATCCCGACCCCACTTTTCTCACTCCTTCTGCCCGTGGCTTGTTCAAGGGCACCAGCCCCAGGTGACCAGCCCTTTGTGATTCCAGCCAGGCCTTCTCCCCTCTGAGCTCCTGAACTTAAGGATTTCCTTTTGAGACCCAGGGAGGGGGGAGGCTCCAAAATGCAGGAGTCCCAGGACAAGAACTGGCTTTCAACTTTTCCATATAAACATTTTCATAAGAAAAAGAAACAAGAGTAACCGATATGTGTGAAAGCACTTTGTAAGCCGCTGTAAACCCTGGGACTTATTCCATGATGTTCAGGTGAAAAAGTTGTCATTCTGATGTAATTGATCACATTTTATATCTGCCTTAACCCCTCTTTACCAAGGTTTATTGAAAAATATTTTTTAAATCACCATTTAAAAGTGGCAGCAGCAATGTATGATTTGTCACAGGGCCCACTGTCACTCTCCTGGCTGCCTAGAGTGTAGAAACCCTCAGAGGGCCCTAGCAGCTGGGTGTCAGGGGTGAAGGCCCAGTGTCTAGATGCAGCCGTCTAGAACAGTGTGATCCTACAGAGATATAATGTGAGCTACATGTGCAACTTCAAATGTTTTAGCAGCTACACTAAAAAACTAAAAAGGAACAGCTGTATTTATCTTTAATATATATATAAAAATAAATTACTTTCCTTTGATTTTCGAGATGGAGTTTCACTCTTTTTGCCCCAACTGGAGTGTAGTGGCACAATCTTGGCTCACTGCAACCTCCGCTTCCCAGGTTCAAGTGATTCTCCTGTCTCAGCCTCCCGAGTAGCTGGGATTATGGGTACCCACCACCACACCCAGCTAAATTTTGTATTTTTAGTAGAGATGGGGTTTCATCATGTTGACCAGGCTGGTCTCAAACTCCTGACCTCAGGTGATCCACGCACCTCGACTCCCAAAGTGCTGGGATTACAGGCCACCGCACTCAGCCAAAAATAAATTACTTTCAATGGCAAAAACAGCAATTACTTTTGCACCAACCTAATATTTTGTTTATTCCAATATATCTACAATAGTAGCATTCATTTCAACATGTCAGTTAAAATTATTGAGATATTATACATATATTTGTACAAAGTCTTAAAAATCTTTAAGGCACTAACACGTATTTAGCACTAACAGCACATCTCAATTTGGACTAGCCACATTTCATGTGCTTAGCAGCCACATGTGGCTGGTGGCTACAGTGAGGGAGAGTGTGGACTGGGGCTGGCAGTGTATGTTGCCTTTGGTGGGCCATTATTTTGCCAAGCACACTCTCAGGCATCCTGAGACCTGCCTGTGTGTGTGGTGTCAGTCCTGGGCAATGAGCCAGCTGGAGGCTCCTGCACAGGATCCCCAGTGTACCAGGCTGAACCTCCCTGCTGTCCTCCCAGTCTTCATTCATGTCTTTCAGTTCTCTTTACCTGGTTGCGGCCACCAAACACCACTTCCCTTTCAAGGGTTAATCGCCCTCCCCGGTCTCCTAGCCTGGTCCTCACAGCCTCCCAGTGACTCCAGCTATCCACTTACCCCTGGGCAGACGCCCGCTCCTCTTCAGATGCCTGATGGGCCAGAAGGGCATGGTGTGGAGCAGTGGGGCCTGCAGTGGGAGGAGCAGTGGCCAGATGCACCTGTTGGGGTGCAGAAAACCACCAGGTGCACAAGGCACTCCTCCACTGCGGGACTGCAGCCACTCGGCTGCCTGTGCGCTCTGCCTGTGGGCACCAGGCTGAGGCCTTTTGTCTCTCCTGGGGAACTTCTGCATTTACCAGTGCCCGAAGGCTGGGACTGTCTGGGGCGGGGCAAGGAGGACCTGCTGGGATCCCCGCCAGTGGGAGGTCGGTGTGGTTGTTCTGCATCCGCATCTGTGCCTGCCGCCCCGTGCGCTTGTCCTGCTGTGTTCTTGACTCCCTGGGGGTGGGGGAGTCCTATTTATCTGGCATGTGGGAACCCCAGCTCAGTGCCACCAGCTTTATGCCTCAGGGTTCTCCTCTCCAGGTGGACCCACTCATCAGGTAGTGGAGATTAATGAATGCATGGGAGAAGCCTGATATAAGTGCTTAGTTGCCACATGGTCTTGAGCTAGTTACTTAATCTTTCTGTTTCCATTTTCTCATCAGCAAAACAAGGCCAATAACTAAACCCACCTCCCGGGACCGTGGTGAAGATGAAATGAGACCAAGAAGCCAGGGGCTGGGCACAGCACCTGCACGTGGTACTTGATAAGCGCCCCCGTACCCTCTAAGGTAGGCATGTGGTCTGTGTCAAAGACAGAGAAGCTGACGCTCCGCAAGCTTTCAGTGGCCCAGGGCCATCACGCTGGGAAATGGTACAGCCAGGATTTGAACACAGCTGTTGTGGATTCTGTGCGCCAAGTCAGCTGCCACCCTTATGGTGTCTCCCTTGCCTCTGGGACAAAGGGAGCAGGAAGCAGCTCCCTCACTCAGCCTGGTCTCCTCTTCTCCAGCAATATTCACTCCTCCCGGGATGTGGTGTCAGGAGCCCATACTCAGGCAGCCCTGGAGGGCAGAGGCAGGCAATGGGCACCAAACTCTGCTCAGCAAGTACAGAGCAAGGGGCTGTGCCTGTGCCAAAGCCACCTGTTCATCTGCCCATCTCCCCAATTTATCCATCCATCTGTCCACCTGTTCATCCGCCCATCTATCCATCTGCTCATTCGTCCATCCATCCATCCATCCATCCATCCATCCATCTATCCATCTATCCATCTGCTCATTCGTCCATCCATCCATCCATCCATCCATCCATCCATCCATCCATCCATCTATCCATCCACCCATCTATCCACCTCTCCAACAAGAAGCAGCCTCTTAAGGGCAAATCACAACTGCTGGAAACCCTTCAGAGGGCCGACTGTTCTTAGAATAAAACCCAACTCCGATGTGACTGTGAATCTCCAGGTCCCTCGGACCACCTCTCCTCCCCCTGGCCCATGTCCTGCTGTCAGCCACTCCAGCACCCTCTCTCCCTCAAATTCACCTTTTTCCCACCGTAAAGTTTGCATTCTCTCGGGTGCTCCAAATGCCCTCCCACCTCCTTGCATGGCTGACTCCCTCTTATTTTCCAGCCTCAGCTCAAATGTACATTACAGAATACTTCCCTGGGTGACAGCCTTTGTCAAGGAGCTGCCCCCTCCCACCCAATTAGTCTTACATGGCTTTCTCTATAGGACTTATCCTGATTGGAAAGCAGCTTGTTCGTCTGCATACGTGTTTACTGCCTGTCTCTGTGAAAGGATTGTATGACTTATGAAGGAATGTATGACTGTTCTTCCTGGTGTCCCAGGGACTAGTCTAGTGTCTGGAAAAGGGTTGGGGTTCAGTGAATGGCAGCAGCCACTGGGGGGGATGTGGAGGGCTCTGGGAGGTAACAGGCAATCTCTCTTAATTAAAATATCCAGCCTTGGTTGAGTGTTCACCATATTGCTGGGCACCATCCTAACAGCTTTGCATGTTTTATCTCGATGTCCCACAACCACCTGATATGGTGTTACAATGATGATACCCAATTGACAGACGAGAACACAGAGGCTACAGAAGGTTGAATAATTCATCCAAGGTCACATGACTCGTAAGGTGTATCTTCCCAACTGCCCCTGGTCACCCAAGGGAAATTAGTTGCCAACTGGTGTCCTAAAGCACTGGCCCCTCACAGCCCACTCTTAATAGCTGAGGATCTGAATGCCCCAGGCAGTCTGGCTGCAGAGTGGGTGTTCCTGGCTTCATCCCTTGGTAGGCAGCCTCCACAATGGCCCCCAGTGGACCTGCCTCCTGGTAGTCAGACTGTTGTGTAATTACTCCTCGTGAAGGTGGGCTGGACCCAGTAACTTGCTTTTAATGAACAGAATGTGGCAAAAATTGACAGGATGTCACTTCTGAGATTAGGTCACAAAGAGACAGTGGCTTCCGTCTCACATTCTCTCCCTTGTTCTCTGGTTTGCTGGCTGTGATGAGGCAGGCTGCCCTGTTGGGAGCTGCCCGAGGCGGGAGGCCCATGTGGTGAGAAACAGAGAAGTCTCTAGCAACAGCCAGCAAGGGACCGTGGTGGTCTGTCTAGCAGCCCTCAAGGGACTGTCCCTTACAAATAGCTGTGTGATTCAGCTTGAAGTGGATCTCCCGTCAGTCAAGCCTTCAGATGAGGCCACAGTTGCAGCTAACACCGGGATGAGCCTTTGAGAGCCCCCAAGCTACAGGATGCAGGCAAGCCACACCCAGATTCCCCACCCACAGAGCTGTGAGATAATAAATGTTTCTGTTTTAAGCCACTAGGTTTGGGGGGTAATCTATGATGCAGCAAAGGTGATGTATGCAATCCCCATTTTGTCAAAACACAGCCTGAAGCACAACCATCCCCCTTGTGGTCTGCTGCCTTCAGAGACCTGGACAGTGGGGCTCTGGTGGTATGAGGATATACAATCCTCACATCTCTTCCTGTACTGATAATGATGGGGACGGTAAGAACATTAAATAACAACAGCAGCCTACTATGCGCCAGCCGTGTGCCACATACATGCAATCATATAGACTATGGCATTTTATCCTCTCCATAGCTTGTGAGATAGGTGTCATGATTCTCATTTTACAGATAAAGAAACTGAGGTCAGAGAGATGGACTTTGTTGCTCATAGTCACACAGGTAAGAACTGGAAGGGCAAGAATTCTCAGCCCAGAGCTGCTGCCTCCAGGGCTGCCTATTCTGGCTGCTCTCTTCACCTTAGCTGCTGGGACCTCCTTCTCTATTTAGGGTCTTACCTAATCCTTGTCTCCAGGTGCCTGCTGAACAATCGCCTGGTGCCTGCCAGAGTATCTGCAGGAAGACAGCCGGTCACACTAGATAAGGAAGTCTGTGCTGCTGTGTGCCGGTTGCTACTTGATGGAGTCCCCCTCCTAGTTCAGTGCAGTAATGGAGTGGGGCTGCATCCTGCCCTAAGGAGTTCACAAGCCTGGTTGTGGAGGTGCTGCGTAGTACATCCCTGGGGAGTGGAGGGCAGGAACCAAGGTGCCCCATCTGCCACTGGACTGTGAGCTGTTCACACTCAGCTTTCTCAGGTCCTCAGAGTGAACTGGGTGCACTGGATTCCTTGGGGCTCTGTGCAGGGGGCCCAGGGCCCACTGCTCCATCCCCCAGGGCAGCACTGCAGTGGGCCCTGGGCACTGACTCTCCCAACTGCCCATGGCTGGTCAGGAGAAACTGCATGCTGCTGACCTCCTAGGGGGTTGACACCTCCCACCTGCCCTTGGGGGGTGATCATGGGACCTGGACAATCTGCTACCTGCACATACAGGGCTAGGGCCTCCCACGGAAAAATTATCAGAACGGCAAGACGTGCTTGCTCAGCTGCAAAAGCAAAGCCCACTCCTGAAGGAGAGCAGGATCCTGACCTTGTCTCCTCAGGGTAGGCCTCGGGCCACAGCTTTGTCTCCTTGGCATGGGTGAAAAGTAGGTGGGGTTCTCCAAGGCAGCTGGGCTTTCTGCTGCCAGCCTCCCTGTCAGCACCACTCAGCCAGGGATAGGAGGAGGCCGACGACTCACTTCTGTTTCCAGAAAGTATTTTTATTGCCATAAATGCAGAGAGAAAAGGAGGCACAGAAGGCAGAGGGGAAGGAGGGAACAGGATGTTGAAGAGGGAGTGCTGGTGGTCAGCAGATGCTGTGTAAGGGGTCGGCTGTCTGAGGCCTCGCAATGTGCTGCAGTACAAGCTGAGCAAGCCGGGGAGGAAGGAGCCCCTCCAGGAAAACAGGTCTGGAAAGAAGAGCCAGGGCACTACTGGGGACACAGGAACAAAGCCAAGGAAACCTGGGGTCTCGCCATCCACCTGCCCCTCCTGCCAGGTCCACCTTGGCCACAATACCTCAGTCCCAGGTGCAGCTCCTGCCACTCACAGCAACTGCAAAGGCCCAGGGGCTCAATAAACGGACCCCTCCCACTGTGCTCCATCCCCCAGGGCAGCACTGCAGTGGGCCCTGGGCCCTGACTCTTTTGTTGTCTGTCATGGGATAAGAGAAGGTGGCCATCCCGGGATCCTCCCAGTGGGGCTGAAGAGATGAAGGGCAGAATATCAGGAGGGGAGGCGATAGGCTGAGAGCAGCGGAAACTTCAGGTTTCCATGGTTCCTCTAGGGCTCCGCCTCTATCTATCCCTTAGAGTTGCTGTGTGTGCACTCCAGACAAAGAGGATGCAGCGCCTAGAGCCAGTCCCCACCTTTCATAAGGCTCCCTGCAGGTAACATCTACCTTGGCCTGTCATCACAAGCCCACACGCTGTATTTTCTGAGAAGGAAGATGGGATCCTGTGGTGAAAGGAGAAAGCTGGCCCGAGCAGGACAGGGTCCAGAAGAGTCCCCCATTACCCAGCCTCCCACCCCTGCAGGGACCACACCAGCCACACTGCATAGCTGCACCGGGGCACCTAGAAACCTGTTGAATCCCTCTCCTCCTTGGGATGCGCTGGCGAACAATGAAGGCCCCTGAACAAAAATGCACTGGGCACCTGTTGGTCCTCAGAGCCTCCAGGTGCTCCACATCATGGCCCTTCTGGCCCCTTGCCCAAGCCAGGAGTCAGTGAAGTCCCCCACATGTAGAGGAAGCCACCCCAACACCCCCCACCAGTCCCAGCACAAGGATTTAGAGCCCTCTGCATCCCCAAGCAGTGGCCCCGCTGCAGCCTCCCTCGACCTGGCCCCCTACTCTATCCTTTGTGGAGTTCTCGTGCCCGCTCTGCACACAATAGCACGTCTTGATGCGCTAGAGCCAAAAGTGCAATTCTAGCTGGCCTAAGAAGGGCAGCAGCCACAGAGTCCATACGCAACATTTCAGAACCCAAAATGCCCAAACAAGCAGGCAATGACAAAAGCCAATCCAATACCAGAAGCAACATCATGACCAAAGCAGGGGAATGGGACACCAGGATACACAAAGGTGATGGAACGACGGGCAGCCATTGAGAGAGGCGCATACCTATCACTCATTAAAGAAGATCTGGAAAGAAATGAAAAACAGATCTATTTCACAGGCTGCCCTAAGACTAGAGATGCAGCCACTGAGGTCCAAGGGGAACTTCTTGGAGGGACATCTAAGAAAGGCTCCCTCCTGTCTAAGAAGGACTCCACCAAGAGACCCCTCTCCATGGAAGGGGCGTGTCCTGCCTGTTGGTCACTTGGTGGTCATCTTGCAGCCACTCTGGCCAGTGAGCAGAGCCAATAGATCAAGGGGGTGAAGGGGCAGGGGGAGGCCATGTCCTTGTTGACGTTGCTGAGGCCCTGAGTCATACCACGGGGCCGCCTACCTCTCCCTCTGGGTTTCTTGGTCTGTAAGAATAACATAGCTCCTTTGATTTTGGCAGGTTACATGGGCTTGCCTGTTTCCTGCAGCTGGAAGCAGGATGGTACTGACAGCATGAGAGCCACAGGCTGCCCACGTAGCTGCACCACCTCCTCCCCAAGCTGCCAGGCATGGGCAGGCCTCCCTGGCCTGCTGGTGCACACTGGCGGCCTGCAGCCCAGCAGTCTAAGGGGAAATTGGAAAAGACACTTGACAAAACTGAACATCCATTTTGATAAATATTCTTCGTTAAATGAGAACAGGTGGATCTTCACCTGGATATACTCAAAGCCATTCAGTGGAGAGACAACGGCAGCATTCCCATCAAAGCCAGGAAAAATACAGGCACGTCCACTGAAG